TACAAAATCGTGCAAACTTCATAAACTACAAAATACTTTCACTCAGCCTACTACAGGGCCCATGATTTGACCTTAAGATGTTAATTTCTACCATTCACAAGAGTATACTGTTTTCTGACTTTGCTTGGGTACTTTCCAAGGGAAAACTAGAAAAACATATACTTAATACAATTTTATTTAAGGTCCCAGTAAGAAGGACATTCTCTTTTAATACATCTTATTACAGTGATTTTCTGCAAGGCCAGTTACTATTAAAGCAACCAGTAAAGGAAGTTATAGCATCCAGGGACTAATAATGGTAGGGCACCATTACCACCAGTAGGCTTAAATGAGTGCGAAAAAGATAGGTGACCAGTGTCCCAAGAGAATTGGAAAGAGGAGAGAAAAGCCAACTGAAAGGGATTTAGCTGTGGAAGGGTCAGCAATGCCAGTACTGACAAAGCACACCAAATAGGAAGAATAACAATTTATTCATAGTCAATGTCTCATTTTACACTGCCATGCCCTCCTATGTTTCTAACTGGCCAAAGGTTTCCAGAAACCAGAGCTGGAGGGAATTCAGGTTCTAGAGGGTCAGTGGCCCTGGCTACAGATCAACACTGACAGTGAATTTGACTGTGACACATTTCTGATTTCTAACTATTTAAATAGAAGGAGTAAAGGAGAAACACTTTGATATCTGCACAAATATTGTAACATTGTATCCTACTAAGAAACAAATAAGACCTAAACAGAGTTATATAACATACAATGAGCAAAAATCTCTACATTACCTATTATTAAAACTCACATTAATAACATGAAAAATGCAATAGGTCACTTAGAAAAGTGATGTTAAAAGTTCCCAAAGCTGAAAGTACCTATTTGCTACTAGGTAAGGTATGTGAGAGATGTTCAGTCTTAATATATTAAAGCCAAAATAAAATGTCTATTTCCTTTCATATTAGAAAAAATTAAAAATAACCAAGGGCATAATAAAATGGTTGTTTCCTGTACCATTAATAGAAACTATAAATTGCCATAGCTTTCTAAAAATTAACATTTATTCCACTTCAAGTCTGAGGCATATAATTAGACACATAGATAAAGATCTATACATAAAAATGTTTATAATGGCTATGATAACAGAAGAAAGAAACAAGACCCAACATTAAGGAACAACATCCATTCTGCCATTCAAAGTTACATTCACATGGAGACCATCTGTCATATAGCAAACAAAAGCTTATAGTCTGCAAACACTGTGTGTCTAACATGTTCCCCTTTGAGAGAAGCCAGGAAGACAAAAGGAAAAAATTTATCAAACCATTAATTGCTGTTTCTCTGGGTACTAACAACATAGTGAATTTTTTCTCATTTTCTATTCTTATGAACTTACCAAATCTAACACGAGGATGTCTTTATTAACAGTTGTAAATGCCATATAAGAATGAGTCATAGAACTAGTCATGCAAAGCGTGTGAAATGTAGTTCTTGACTCAGGTTACTTATAATCTAGTTCTTAATTTTATGTTGTAATTTTCAATAATACCTATTCATTTCATTGGGGCATAGAAAATGCAGTAGCATTCTCTGTATTCTTCAACTGATCTCTTATCATTGCACCAACTTCCCAAGTCAGACTTAACATATCAGACTTATCAGCTAGACTTAACCCTATCAGACATATAGTAATATCCATTCTTTCAGGAAAAAAATATACAGAGAGAGTTTTTTTCAGGACCTTGAAATAGGATTCTAGGTAAAGATTTTTAAACAGATATGTAAAAATGTTATTAAAAATGATAAACTTTTTAAAAATCTTTACATAAAGTCATACTGTTGAAAGAGTACAGAGTAAGCCTCTGAGGAGAATGCTTTTGCATTCCTCTTCTAAGAGTCACATCCAAAATGTATAAAGAATTGATACGCAATATAAGAAAAAGACAGACAACCCCAGATGACGATGCTAGGCCTACTCCATTTCAGTTGGATGCTCATAATTGTTTCTTCAGTATGCACACACAAACATTTATATGGATGGACATACATGCATATATAATAAATCTTACATGTGTACATATAGATATTTTATCTAAAATGAAACTACTTCTGGCTTTCTCTAATGTTATATCAAATTCAGTTAGACTAATTTTATTTTTACATGTCTATTGTCTTCTCCTTTACCCGAAATTAGATTTATTTAAACAGAAACCAGGTCATGTGTCTTTAACTGGTAAATCAATAGTAGCTTCCAATGTCAATAAGAGTAGAATGCTCTAAGGATACATATCTTTAATAGCTGAAATACATCAGACATATTGTCCTCACCTGTAGATTGTCCCCTTAACCTGCTTCATTTTTCTGGCAGTTCTGCATTTTAGAATTTGTCTCTCTACCAATAACATGAAATCTAAATGGGAGTATCTACATTTTATACCTGCTTTAAACTTCTCACATTAATCTAAGAACCTGGAACAGGGCAGGCAGTGATGTTGGATGAATATTTTGTCACCAAAAAAGAAAACAGAAAGAAACGTATTACCAGCCTTCTTTTATAGAGTACAAAACTGTATGAATGAGTCACGGTAGGAAACTAAAAACATTAAATTCCTTAATGTCTTTTGTTCTTGGCCTTTCCTCCACTCCTTTCCTATCAACCCTGCCTGTGCACAAATGTGCAGAAAGACACACATGAAGAAGTCATACAATAGGGACAGATCCCTAAGTAATGGACTCTTCTCTTCACTCTAGCTGTTAACTTTTTGACTCTGATCATAATCATAAAATTTCTCTTAAAATCTATATGCATAAATATATAAAATAATAGATTATTTGAAGGTTATATAATATGCAAATGCACATTGCACAACTGTAGAAATTATATAATCCCATTGACTCACAATTAAATGAAAATGGCAGCTGGTGCCATTCAAGTAAAAGTTGAATATACAGAAATTACGCACTTTCCTTTGAGCCTTGCTTTGGGATCATTTGTCTTTTTGTTGTTGTTGTTGTTGTTTCTTTGAGATAGGACCCCACTATTTAGCCCTGACTGTCCTGGAACTCACTATGTAGTTTCAGATAGTCTCAAATTCACATGTACTATGTTTTATCCTCTTATATCTTTTTATACACCATGATACTTAATACATTATTATTTTACTTTCTAATACATATATACATATATGTGTATACATACATATTTGTGATCCTTTAAGGTTAGTTCCTTCAGCATAAGAAGATTTTTTTTTCAAATAAAATGAGACAGATTTTTAGGTCTGACCTGTATTTCAAACACCAAAAACTTGACATCCTAAAGATGACATTTTTGATAAGTGAGTCTGTTGAAAATTGGATTGTTTCAGTCAGAAGTCTTACCTCCTATGCCCCATCAGACATGGGTGTTTATGGTTAGTTGCTTTTTCTCTATAGATACCAATTACCTTTTCAAAAGGCTACCCAAGAGGATTTGCCACTGGACAGCTTGTTTAAAATTTAGCTACAAGTACAAATATGATGGAGGTGAGATCCAATTTGGCTGTCGACCTTCTTGACCCTTTAGTTTTAGTTTTAAAATGTTTCAGGCCTTTCTAGGTACTCAGCAGCTCAAAATTTTGTTTGGTTGATTGCTTTGTTTTCAGATTTTCTCAATTGAAAGATTGTTTGGTTGTGTTTTTAATTCCACAAATGGGGAACTTAGGAAAAAGCTCTTAATTTCTGGAATCTATGGCTCTCATCTCCTCTCTTTCAGAAAGCAAAATCATAACCTGATATCAAGCCATAGCTTGAAAAGTGAATTAAATTAATAAAAGGCCCCTCATTCTCTGAATATGATGTAGCCAGTGCCAGATGAACATTTGTTTATTAAGTAGGTAAAACTTTTAATAAGACAGAAAATGATGTCTGGAGGAAATGATAAGCTTTTTCTTTTAAGTATATCATTAATGTCTGAGAAGAAATCAGTGTCAGAGTTTATTCTGAAACTATGGTCAGCAAGAACAGGTTGAGTTTATAAAGATATGTCCTTGTCTAAAAATGAGAATTCTAGTTTCATTGTGGCCAGTCAGCATGATTAATCATCTCCAAATTGCAGCTTTCCGGAGATGTAAAATAAGAATATTTAAAAATATGTAGCATGAAGACTCTAGTGAAATTCAGCATCATAGCTCTAAAAATGTATGTCAACTATTGCTCTGAAACTATTTGTAGTTTTTACTAATGTGTGAGATTATTTCTGTGTTTAAATAATTTATTGAATACTCTCTCCACCTCTTTGCACTGCTGAAGCTACTTCTCCAAGTTGTAACCAGGGATCCTTGGAGTCTTCTCTTCTAGATCAGGCTATTTCTCAGTGCAGGAGATAGTTCCAAGTATTTGGTACCCTGTCTTCCCTAGTCCTTATTTGGCTCTCCTGAAGATGTGTATCAGGGAAGTGTCCTATCACACTGATGACTAGGGTATGGTCATCTGCCTAGGAAACTACTACAGTGCAATAATGGGGAGGTGACCAAACAGAAAATTAAACTGTGTAGATATATTGAAGGGGCCATAGGAAGTAAAGAATCAGCTTCCTCACACATAACATGGAAATAGTATTCAACCTTACAATATTACAGTTATAATTGTGTGAGATGTTGTGATAATAATTAGCAAAAACATTCAACTCAGAGTTAAGTGGCAAATATGTAAACTCTATAATGATGCCAGACAGTCCTTGGCCAGCAAATAGGATATGAAGTTAGAGCAGCAACTGAGCACCAGATTTTTGAGAGACTCGACTGGTAGTCTAATGAACTTGAACCTTCATCTTACTAAATGCAGTTGTGCCGGCGTTAGTACTAACACTCTGAAAGAAAAAAAAAACAGAACAAAGAAAAATTTGCATTACCTTACAGAATTCATGGTGAGTAAGAAGGGACTGCTGGAGAGATTTGGGGTTTTGTTTAAAGGAGCTTTGGATTTGATGACTAGAGGGAAAGATGATATTTTTTAGTTTATTTTGTTTTTTTCTTCCACAGTAATTACTGAATGCCAAAGGCAGCAACTGGCATCTGTGAGCTACTCCTCTCGCTATGCTCTGGGCCTCTTTTATGAAGCAGGCATGAAGATTGATGTCCCTTGGGCTGGCCAATACATCACCAGTAATCCCTGCATACGCTTCATCTCCATTGATAATAAGAAACGCAATATAGGTCAGTACTTCCCTTATTTTCCTTAAACACAGAAACTGTGGTGGGTGTAGGTTGAGAAAAAAAAAATGTTGTTTAATTGAGTGTTGCCATTCTGAACAGAGAAAGTGTTTAACTCCAAGCCACAGGGGATAAAACTTAATGTCACATTTGCTCAGTCATGAAATACACAGTGAAACTAGGAAGGTTTTTCAGAAGATATTTCACCATGTGGTTTGCTTTACTGAGTTCATAAAAATAGTGTCAGAAGGTTTAAGATTGCAAAATGGTCTGGGTTCTATTGCTTTAATTTGGATCTGTGTGTATGCAAATGTTTCTGTCATTGTTTCTTGGTGAGATTCCATTGGGTTATTTGGTTTGGTTTAGGCTTTTTTAATTTGGTAATTGCTAACCTTCCACTTCCCCAGCTAGATTAAGGATAAGTTTTATCATGCTACGAAAGCCATCACATCTATAATATTTTGATGTCTACATACATTTCATCTTCTTTAAATGAAGTAAAATTGGTTTACATGCAATATATCTAAAGTGCCCAGAAAATGTTTCATGAGAACCTTCCTAAGATACAGTAAACGCTACATTTTACCCTTTGGTTAAAAATAATTCTAAAACTTCAATTTTATTTGCACGATCATGTGTTGTAGAGGCATAGGCAGACATATCTCTGAGAGTTTCAGGCCTACCTGGTCTCCATAGCAAGTTCTGGGCCAGCCAGAGCTGCGAGTAAGACAGGGAAAACACACAGAGATAGATGGGAAGAAAGAAGGGAGGGAAGGGGGAGGGAGGGAGGGAAGAAGGAGGAAGGAAGGGAAGAAAGGAGGAAGGAAGGTAGGAAGATTGGATAAAAAAAAAAAAGGTAACTGATTTCAGAAAAGAAAAGTGTATGTATGTATATCCATAGGATTCTGGTAATGTCTAAGGTAATGCTTTTCCTAAATAAACTGTAATGATCTAACAGGACGAAACTCACAAAAGGAAGCATGGTTGAGTTTGTAACAGCACTTCACTGTGCAGCAATGCTTTTGTCGGCCCATTAGTTGGAAGTCTTGCCTGATAAAATCACCAACTAGTGTCTCTTGGCTTGCCAAAAGTTTATGATAGGCCTCAGCTGGAGTGTGCTTTCTATGTGAGAGCACACAATCTTAAAAATAATGTTTCTTTTATAACCTAAAACTCCCCAAGGGCCGTGCTGCTTATGTTAACATAATACCACATCTATATATGATCAGCAGCTATGAAATTCCCTGTAACAGCAATAGACATTAGCTGTGAAATGTACCAATTTCAACTCAGCACCTGTTTGTTCTGAGAAAAGAAAAATAATCCCCAATCTTCTCAAGTTATACACCATGAATTAGACATTTATCTTTTGTGTGTTACTACATAAGATAAGATATCATTCAAGATATATATTCAGCTGTATGTGCCAAAAAAAAAATGTTAAAGCAGCATAAGACCATTTGTATGATCTACTATGGACAAAGGATGTTTTTCCTAGATTGATCTGTTAGAGACATGGTTTGTCTCAGTAGTAGAACATTTATATACTATATACAAAGATGTAGGTCCAACCCTAGCACATGATAAAGTAAGAAAAAATTCATAGAGTGAAACCTATGCTGCTCGGTATTTTTTATCACTGTTAACAGATACCTAAGAGATCAAATTAAAAGGAGGAAAGCTTGACTCTGGCTAGTGGCTTTTAAGATGTTAGTCTGGGCTTGTAGTGAGGCAGAACATCACAGTATATGTTCTCTCTTATGTGCCAGTCCTAACTGGTATATGTGTGTGTGCATGTGTGTGTGTGTGTGTGTGTGTGTGTGTGTGTGTGTGTGTGTGTGTGTTGAGACAGAGTCTAAGTATAAAACCCTGTATGTCCTAAAATTCTCCTTGTAGACCAGGCTAACATGGAACTCCATAGATATCTGCCTGCCTCACCTTCCTAAGTGCTCAAATTAAAGGCTATGTCACCATACCCAGCCTATATTCCAAATTTTATATTTTTATATGCATACATTTATGTAGGAGTGATTGTGGCGACAGGACATGAAAATGAAAAGGGAACCATCACACACACACACACACACACACACACACACACACACACACAGAAGGGAGACAAGGAAAGAATCATACAACATATAAGACATGAAAGGGAAATTATCAGGGACAGAATGGTACAAGTGAAAAATGAGATGGGAAAGGAACTAGAAGGGACAGGAAATCAAGAAAAACAAAATATGTGTGAAGATGCCATACTGATACCTGATACTTTGAATGATAGTTCTTAAAGAGAGTGTGTGACAGAGTAAAATTATCCACCTCATAAGAGCAAGATGCATTGGCTGACTTCGTCCTTTCTCTTTTACTTCTCCTGGCCCTCCAGCCTTTTGTCTCTGCCTGTCAGTAATTAATTCATCTCCAGAAACATCCTCATAGACACATCCACAGGTGTTCTACACTAATCTTCTAGTCAATTCTCATTCCAATGAAATTGACAGTCAATATTAACCATCACAAAGCCCTAATCCCAATGAGATTATATTTGGAGATTCAGTTCAGGTAAAAATGATTGCATGGAGTCCTAAGGGTGGCATCCTTGCCCAATAGGATAATGGTCTTAAGAGAGCAAAACAGAAAAACTTCCCTTATCTCTATTGCTACTTCCATATACCCAGGAAAAATCTACAGCAGAGATATAGCAAGATAACAGGCACCTTCAAATGAGGAAGCAAGCCCTCACTAGGAAGCAAATTAACTGATAACTGGACCATGGCGTTCTCAGGCCCCAAAACTGAACAAACTCCATTTATGTAAACTACACTGTCTCCTTAAGGTCTCAAATCTATTCTTTTTATTTCCATGTCCCAGGGCTCAAAGCTAGGGCCTTGCACATTAGAAGCATAGCAGCACACTTAGGAAGAATCACCATGGACTTTGCTCCTTCCAGAGACTCTGTTCAACACTTCTTTAATATTCCCATTCTCACATTTGCATAGCAAACCAGAATTTCACCTGGACCAATTCCAAACCAGCCAGTTGTGAGGCAGATTAGAGTATCATAAATCTGAGGTGTGGAGAGTATCATATGCCTAAATCAAATATATTTCTGGAGCTGTTATCTCAATCCCATTATCCATGAGAAAGGTCACTACATGAATAAGATAAGGTATTGTTATAGAGAAAAAAAGAAGGCATGCTGATGGCTGTGTAGCCCTCAGTACTTCCCATCATCATCAAGCAGAGTTACATCTAATGTAGGAGGTAAAGTTCTAAATTTATCATTAAAAGAAAAGAATCACACATATTCAGATTTTCCTTTGAAGACCCATAAAACTACATGATACTTTTGAGAATGGCAAAAATCAGTAACTTGATTGTGGTGGTTTAAAAGAAAAAGGCCCCCGAAGGCAGTGGCACTTTTAGAAAGTGTGACCTTATTGGAGTAGTTGAGGCCTTGTTGGAAGAAATGTGTCATTGTGGGGGTGGACTTTAAGGTCTCCTATGCTCAAGCTACACTCAGTTAACACAGTTCACTTCCTGTTGCTTGTGGATCAAGAAGTAGAACTCTCAGTTACTTTTCCAGCACCATGACTGCTTACATGCCCCCTGCCATGAAGATAATGGACTAAATATCTAAACTATAAGCCAACACAATTAAATGTTTTCATTTACAAGTTGACATGGTCATGGTGTCTCTACAGAGCAATAGAAACCTAAGACATTGATTGATTCAACTGTTTTTCACCATTTGAATAGATTTATGTTTACTTGAGTGAGATTAGATTAATAACTGTATTGCATGTATAGGATAGAGGTATGTTTTCTACTGGGAAAGTCACACACGACAGAAAGAAAGAATCATCTCTGAAAAGATTAAGTTTTCTTACAAATGAAGTGAGAGGGTGTGTGAAAGCACCCACACAGCACCAAAGTAACAATTTATAAAACTGAATGGATCTGAAAAAAGCAAATATAACATCAAGAATCTCTCGCAATTGTCAATTTTTGTGATAATAAATATTTAAATTTCTTTTAATATCAGCAACTACACAATTTTAAGACTAAGGAGCCAAATAAGTTAGAAATCATGTTTTGTTTTATGCTTATTGTGGTAGTGTTTCAAGCTGCCAAGAAATACCTACTTTCTTTGTCAACTGTATGGAAATTGATCTTCTCTTGTATATGCATTAATTTGCATAAAGCCTATAGTAATAACTTTTCTTAGCATTAAATTTAACCACCTTCACTTAAGCTGTTTCATTTTTGCTATCAGGGTCCAGAGTACTAAGTGTATCAAGATGACTTAACATGATATAAATGCCTGTGTAATGTAATCCCATGAATGTACCTAGGTGAATAAGAGATATGGTGGTGGTGGTGGTTCTCAAGCCCTACCCCATGCCTTTTGTGGATTTTCTTAAATGAAGAACTAGTACCATAACACAGACACAAATAATAGAGGGAATATTTGTGTTCTATCAGGGTAGAGCAATGTAAATATAAATAAGATACACAATACTTTCCAATATTGAGAACAAAATGAAATCTGTTAATAAGGCTCCAGAGACAGAAGATAAAGAAATGTCAATCATGGCATATTCATTTGTCAAATGTCAGAAACAGTCAGTAAGTGCAGAAGGTCACGGCCAGTACCAACTTTCCCTTTAGGGAGAGGAAGGAAGCTCCAAGGTGTACCACACCCAATTTCAAGTGCCAACAGTTAGAGTGTGAGTCAGTAGGTAAAAATCTAAAGCTATTAATGCAACTTGCAACTCTAGAAACATGATGACCAATGGACATACTTGAATAGTTTTCAATATCTGATCAAAGATACCCATGCAACTCATTTAAAAAGAAGATAAACAAATTTGAAAAACTTACCTCTAACACATGGAAATTATCATTGCAAGAATTTTATTCTTAGGATAATTTAATAACAAATGCTTACATAATACTAATGCCTTTAGAGAGTATTTCCCCAAATATTTAGAAATATTTTT